ACTCGCTCTGTCGCCGTTTGTGGACGTACAGTTCAAAATATTTTACAAAAATAATAACGTACAAGATACACGACTGTCAACTTTAATATTACTCAGATGATTGGGAAAGTACTGGGTACAGTACTGTACAGTAAAAAGTTAATGAAAAAATAAAATACTTCGGACAGACCTCGCCATTTTGTAGTTTTCTCTCAGTAAGCCTCCACTGTATTCCCCCTCATGACAACCACATTTCCCAGAAGGCAACAGGGCCCCGCCCTGAAGCCCCATTTTCCTTCTTAAAAACCAGAGGTAGAGTTTTGATCTGATCAGCGCCAAGCGGATGCAGAGAAGCCACACTGAACCTACCGAACCGGATCAGAACTAGACCTCCAGACCAGACCCATCGTTGAATCTTGAGAGCTGGTAGCCGGCCCACGTTGACTTCTAAGCGCGAAAGGTCCGGAGCCATTTCCATAGCCCATTGGAACGTTTTTCATCCAGACTTGGGACACAAATCGACCACCTACGGTCCCGCTCCTGCCAACCAAATGTCTACCCTCCCCCAAATGCACTTTGGCGCTCAAGAGCTGCATTGAACCGGACCAGAACCGGACCTACAAACTCAGCGGTGAATCCAAGAGCTCCAAGCTGGCCCACAAGTACCTCCGGGTGTGGACACTCCTGTAAGTAAAGTTTATTAGCTACATACACTACCTGGCCAAAAAAAAAAGTTGCCACCAAAAAAAAAAAAAGGGTCACAAACAAAAAAGTCCATGCTCACCAATATTTGGTTGGACCACCTTGAGCTTTGATTACGTCATGCATTCACTGTGGCATGGTTTCGATGAGCTTCTGCAATGTCACAAGATCAATTTCCATCCAGTGTTGCATTAATTTTTCACCAAGATCTTACATTGATGGCGGCAGATTTTGAAAACCGCGCAAAGCTTTCTCCAACACATCCCAAAGATTCTCCATGGGGTTAAGGTCTGGGCTCTGTGGCGGCCAGTCCATGTGTGAAGATGATGTCTCATGCTCCCAGAACCACTCTTTCGCAATTCAAGCCCGATGAATCCTGGCATCGTCATCTTGGAATATGCCCGTGCCATCAGGGAAGAAAAAAATCCATTGATGGAATAAGCTGGTCATTCAGGTAGTCAGCTGGCCTCGTTCTTTGAGCACATACTGTTGCTGAACCTAGACCTGACCAACTGCATCAACCCCAGATCGTAGCACTGCCCCCACAGGCTGGTACAGTAGGCCACATTTCTTCCTCGAAGACTTCCAGTTCTTAATAATACGTTGGACAGTTCTTGACCCAATTTTAGTAGTTTCTTCAATCTCCTTAGATGTTTTCTCTGCTTGATGCCGATGATTTGACCCTTCTCAAACAGACTGACATCTTTTCCACGACCACGCGATGTGTCTTTCAACACGGTTGTTTAAGAAATGAGAAGCAACTCATTGCACCAGTTGGGTTAAATAACTTGTTGCAGCTGAAAGATGATCATCCATGCAGTAATTATCCAACAGGAGGCTCGTCCCCATTTGCTTAGTTAAATCCAGGTGGTGACTTTTTTGGGGGGGCAGGCAGTGTATAAATATGTTAAAATTAGTACGTTTAAGAGTTTAGAACATTGATTGTGAGCTTCGTCGCTGCAGGGTAGTCTGCAGAAACGGAACCGAGCCAGACCAGAACCGAGAGCCGCTACTGTTCTGCAGAGCCTGTAAGTAAAACTCCGTAGCTACATATACAGCACTGTACGTATGCTGTTAAAATGACGTCATTTTTAAGATTTTAGAACATGGCAAGGGTGCGGGAAGGATTTCTAAAGCCTTAAAATATTTATAAATACTAAAATAAATGCAACGTCGCTACTTCGCAGAATTTCACTTAGTGCGGGCGGGTTCGGAACAAAACCTCCGCAACAAACAAGTGCCTACTGTATATAATTAGTGTATAACTTCAACATTTATGAATGCAAAAACACAAAAGGTCATCACTAAATGTCACAATACTGATGGAGTGTTCAGGGTTTTTAATGGTTTGTTAAGTTAAAGCTTCACATTTATTCCTACGTCCATCATCAGCAGACTTGAGCTACAATAACCCACAAATACATCTGAATGTATCACCGTTCTTCTTCATGAAAAGCCAATATCTGCACACGAGCTACACGTGTTCAATAAAAGCATTAACCTTGTATCTTTCCACTCACTCAGCAGTCGTCCACATGACTATCAGCCACCCGTGGGAGTGACTACAGCTCAAGTAACCCTCCTTACAGAGCACATTTACAACCAACTCTCCTCAAGACACGTTTTAGAAGGAAAGAAATGCTAGGCCTTCAAACGCTAAAATTAGCATAATCAAGAATATGTTTAGGGTAGACTCTCAGCTACTACCAGACCACATGTTAGCTCATTTTCTGTAACTATTTTGGTATTTTCTAAAGTCAGTTGGCTTCAGCAGCCATTTGTCATTGGACTGACTCTAAAAATCCATCAGTTGTAGATGTGCATCCACTGATTATTTATTGAACGTTTCAATAAAAACCTGTAGTTTAAGTGATATTTTGCTAACGGACAGACCAACGCACACAAGGGCATCATCATCAGCCTTCTTATTTTTCTTTCAGCTTTGCAGTGATTGATAAAAACTGTAATGCTTCTGGTTTTGTAGTTTACCGTCAGCGGATCATAACAGCAGCAGGATGACTGCATGTCGTGAGCTGCCACCTGAAACCACCTCTGGGACGTCATCGCTCGTTTCCAGAACACACACACACGCTGCTGCTCAGAAGCATCGCAACACAAGATGCAGGATACGAGGTTTACCGATCCATTTCTCTTAATGAGAGATCCGAGGACGCTGCTGCATGATAACTAAAAGCTGACGCGGTGGATTCTGTCTGAGTAAACATAAACAAAGTAAATTACAGCTTTAATAATTAAGCAGGCATGGTTTCCGTTGATTCCACCTCAAATGTCACGGATTATGCAGTGCATGGAGAATATTTGGGTCGCATATTGATTTCACTTTGTGATGGGAAACTTGAGCAGGTTTTACAGCAGCTGCACGTCACACAGGGAAACCTGTAAGACGGGCGTGGCAGCCAGGGGAGGAGGTGCAGCTGGTGGTGGGGCTCATGCATTCTTCTTTACTGACCACATTTCTTCACTCTGCTGCCGTCTTTACCCGTTTTGTATTTCTACCTGTTTTGTGTTGTCGTGTTTTTGGCTTTCTTCCAATAGGAGGAACACCTGCACCTACACCTGGACCTGCCATGCTGACTTCGTTTGTTTCTCCTTCCTGTCCTCTCAAACCCACCACGTCGAAGCAGATGGCCGCTCGAGCTGAGCCTGGTTCTGCTGGACGTTTCTTCCTGCTAAAAGGGAGTTTTTCCTTTCGACTGTTGCCTTTGCGCTTGCTCAGGATGGGAAACTGCGACAAAGTGAAGATTCAACTGGTCTGCTGGCTTCCTTCCAGATGGAGAATTTTTATTAACTGGCTTTTGTATGTATGCACCCGTTCTTGTACGGTGGCCTGACACACTTGTGTTGGGATTTGAATGATCCAGATTTAATGGTTTAGTTCCCCGTTATGTGCGGACAAACTTCTCATCATGGCGTGAAATATCTAAACGCAGGTTCTTCTCAATTCAGCTTTACGTCAACTACTGCATATCTGTTTAATTAAGTAAAAATCACATTTGTAAACATGGTGCACACATAACACGTCACAGAACACTTCTTTCCTGTTTTGGGGTTTTTCCCCCATACAGTTTATGGCATCCAACTGGTTAATCTGGTTAATCTAGCATTTAGATATTGTACAATTCTTGGCTTTTAGCCTGTTTAGCTAGCTTTTTATGACTGCTACTTTTAGCATTTAGCTACAGTTTTGCCTATTTTATATTTTAGCTACTATTGTACTACTGTGCTAATGTTAGCCTTTAGCTATTGTTTAACACATCAAAGTTCAAGCTCAATAATCCAGGTAAAAATCCAACAATGTTTAGTCAGGTCATCTGGACGGTTTCTTTTACTGCTGAGATGTTTCGTCCTTCATCCAAAGGGCTTCTTCAATCCGAGGAGCCACAAACAAACTCAGCCTGGCAAGCAGCACACTCCCATAGTGGAAAAAGGCAGTTTGATGGTGATAAGATGGTTTCTGAGGCCCGCCCTCTCCCCTGTCAACTCCTCTGAGGCAGCCATGCCAAAATGGTTCAAAACACCAAAGTCCATGCTCAATAATACAGATTGAAATCTAACAATGTAATACTAGCTTTAAACTACCATTGAGCTAATCCTAGCATTTAGCTGCTGCTGTGCTAATCCTAATTTAGCTATTAACTTGCCATCTTTTGACCTCTACTTTTAACATTTAGCTTATTTGCCCATTTTATTTTTTAGCCATTTTGTGCTAATCCCAGTGTTTCAATATATTGTGCTAATACTAGCTTTTAGCTATGTTTTGCTAGCTTTTTATGACTTTGGTACTTTTAACAATATGATCTTTAAGCTGTTTTTGTGCTAAGCGTAGGTTTTAGTTACTGTTGACCCAGCTTTAGCTACTGTGGTCATTTTGTTTCAGCTGTCATTTTGCTATGTTTTGGTTAATTGTTCGTTGATTTTTATTTTAGCTTTATTTTGTCATTTTAGGCTTTAGTTGCCGTTTTGCTAACTTTACAGTTTTATGGATTTTAGTCTTTAGCTACTATTTTGCTGATTTTAGCTTTTAGCTGTATTAGCTGCTGCTTTACAATGAATTGGCCAAATGCAGCTAGTTTAGCTAGTTTTAACTTGATGGTCTCAGTTGGTTTCTCCAACAACTCCAGCCCTCAGTCTGACTCACTGAATTTACACAAACATTTCTAAAAACCTTTTTTTTTATTTTTGTAGGTAAACAGATGTGAAGGGTTCCGAAGGTAAAGGTGTTGAGTCATGTTCTGCCACAACTACCCAAACAGGGCACATTAAAAATAAATAAATTTAAATGAGAGAACAGATTTTACCTGTTTGATCTTAGCCCGTCTCTCCTTGGTTTCGGGGTCCACTGGATCGTGCCCGGTCGCCCCCGGCGGGCGGTGATAGTTGATGACAGGTAAATTATTCCCACCTTGACTCAGACGGTCATTTGCAAGTTGACTCTTGACAGTTAAAATTTCCGCTTTAATCACTCCGGGTGCCTTCTGTAGAGTATCCTTGGCTTCTAGGAGCGCTTTTTCGTGGTCTCTCTTGATTTTATCCAGGTTCCGCTCCTCGTTCGCGGCCGAGCCGGAGTCGCTGCTCTCCGGACCGGTGCGGGTGTTAGTCTCCACCGGCGACGAGCGGAAGAAAACTCCGCTGAGGAGCTTCGACGAGTCCGGCAGGAAGAAGATCGCCCCGAAGCACAGCGTGATAAAAGCGCTGAACACCAGCAACAAGATAAATTTCTCCGTTAACCTGAAAGAAGTCGGGCTGGCAGACTTCCGACTCGGGGTCGCGGTAAAAGGCAGAAGAGTTGCCACTGGCATTTTTTCCCTCTTCCTTCAACAGCCCGAACTGAGAGAAACGGGGTGGGAAATGTTTCAGCGGTCGATGTAACTCGCGTAGGGACTCAGCTTCGGCTTGTTCTGTTCAGAAATCCATTTCCGACTGATACAAACCGTCTTACATGAAACGTACCTGTGGTAAAAAGTTGAGAAGTGGAGCTACCGTCCATGCCGAGGACGCTCCACAGACAGACGGAGTCCAACAACGGCTCACACAGGAAGCAGCGCAGGGTGGGCGTGACTAACTGCCGTGACGAGCTCATCACATTCTGCCCTGTGATTGGTGGAAGCTCTAAAGGGGGCGGAGGCACTCCAACGGTTGGGTATAAAATCGCCTGAGAGCGCCAGCACGGAGCTTGTAATTCCAGTTCATTTAATAGATCGTAAAAACCTGAATGATTCACTAAAATAACACAATTCACTTAATTCGTTCTCACACTAGATTAGATAGATAGATAGATAGATAGATAGATAGATAGATAGATAGATAGATAGATAGATAGATAGATAGATAGATAGATAGATAGATAGATAGATAGATAGATAGATAGATGGATGGATGGATGGATGGATGGATGGATGGATGGATGGATGGA